TTATTTTTTTTTACTATTGATTTACTTTTTTTTTATAAGTATTATTTATTTACTTCTTATATTTATAGTTACTTCTATATTACTTGTATATACTGTATGAATGAGAACTTCTAGCCTTAATACTTATAGCCCTCCAACAGTGGCTGATTGTATTATTATTCAATAAAAAAAAAAAAAAAAAAAAAAAAAAAAAAAAAAAAAAAAAAAAAAAAAAAAAAAAAAAAAAGGAAGCAGTTGATAGACTGGCCTTGAAATAGAATAATAGTACAGTAAAGACAATCTATACAATGTTACTAATAATTTAAATAAAAAATGTGGCATGTCCACGCACATGACTTTGCTACCCATTTTATTTATTTATTTTTTTTAATTTTAAATATTTTCATTAAAAATAAAATAATAGAATTAGACTAATTTCCCTGGTAACCGATCGGAGAAATCATTAGAGTACGATTTCTTTGATGAACTAAAGCAATTTAAACGGACAAGTGAACTATTATTAAAATCAGTTCATAAAATTTAATACACTTTGTTTTTATAGTTTTGTCGGAAATTTTATAACCTTTTTTAAAAATGTTACCACTATATACTACAGAGATATTACGGTCATTTTTTAAAATGTGGAAACCTAAGAGATAAATGCAAAAGTGTATTGGTTCTACTAATTCTTTACATATAATAACTAAATTTATCTCGTATTAGTAAATATTTTGCTTTAATTTTTATTCAGAGTTTTTTTTATGTTATTTTTTTATTAATTTTTATACCATTTTTTTGTCTTGGTCTTGCGAAAATCAGGCGATCTTGGATTATTGACTAGAAACAATATTTACGGGAAGCTGTGGTAGCGTAATTGCTTACAGGTTTCCATGTTGATTGGACTTTATGGATATTGCCTACTCCGTTCAAATGGGTCATGGCGAAATCTTATAAACTTTAAGGGTATTCTGAATAAATAGTCTACCAACAAAACAATAATTTTTCAAATCAGGCTGATGACAACAGCTGTTGACATTAGCAAATTCCAATAACCACTTCAGATTTAGAAACCATTTTATAGTTTGGATTTACTTCCAAGTTTTGACTCATGATATAATATGAATAGATATTGTATTTTATATTTTAGTTTCCTGCTATGCAAAATACATTATGTATAAACATGGTTAGACAAGAAACTGAAACTAATGTAAAATATTATCAATATGTTATTATTTGAAGATTCAAATCAATTCCTACAATCTTTCAACTAATAGCAAATAACTAAGTAATGTTTCATGTTTTCAGGTAGCCTGGTTTTCCTTTTCAGGCCTTGGGAAAAACCATAAATTATATTATAGCAGACATGTTATCTCTGACGTTGAAGAACCCATTCATTTCAACAGCCTGATACAGACTAAATATAGATAATAAGTACATCAGCCGTGAACAGTTCAATATAAACTTATACAAAGTGGCGCCTCTAGGTGGGGGGAGGGGCCTAGGAGGGTGCAGTCCACCCATGGCCCCACTTTCCAAAGGGCCTAACAAGGTTAAGGGATAAAATTGAGATATCGTGGCATTGTATGATTTTCCAGTTTATCGAGTCCGGAGAAGGCTCGATAAGGGAAGATAAGTAAGTGTACTACTCATTGTGAGAGAAGTGGAATATATTAATGAATATTGTGCGTTGTGTTTTCTCAGTAAATCCTCTTCCCGTTCTTGATTAAAAAATAAAAAAGTAATTAAAATAATTTTAGGCGCAAGTACCACTAAATAAATTTGAATAAAACATTTATCCGAACAAAGAAGATGGTGCTGCTGAAAGAGACAAAAGGAAAGGAGACGAAGGTAATATTTACAAAGACTTAATATAAGAGGACTAACGAGGTTTTAATTAGTGTTGCCCAAATGCGAGACCGGGACGAATCTTGGTCTTGCAAACTCAGTCTTGGTCTTGGCATATTACCATATAGTAACTAAGATTGTCAAGTATTAGTAACTATTTTGCCTTTCTTTTTACTAAAAAAATCGATTTTGGTTTACCAGTCCTGGTCTTGGTCTTGCAACAGTTAATCGGCCTTGGTCTTGGTCTTGCACTTTTGTACCATGTCTTGATACACCATAGGTGACAGGATATTATAATTAACGTAAGGTCTTATATCGGAGCAGAATATGGACAAATCATGAATAGGTATCGCTAAACTTCGATAAAGCATATATTAAATTACAACTGAATTATTTAGCCCTGAAACTTAAGCCGAAATGTCCTCACGAAATATTTTTTATTTTATTTTGTGTGTTCTCTCTGACTGCAACTGCTCAACTTTAAATTTTATAGTTTATCTGATGTAGAAATATTTCAAAATATTGAAGTTTATTTTGTAATGGATAATTTTTAAGATAACTAATATGTTCCTTCAAAACGACTTCGGCTATACTTGTGTTATCTATAATTTCAGAAAATTATAGGAGCCCATGACATCCTGTCATTTTTCAGTCCATCTTCTATTCTTAAAGATAAAAATACAGTTACATCTTACATTAGATGAATAATTATTGGAATTCACGAAGGGTATAGTAATCTTGTGGAAGAGTGGTAGCTCAGTGAGTGAGTACTGACTTCCGGAGATCAAGGCCCTAGGATCGAATCCAGCTCTTGGCTAGTAATTTTACATCAGCCGTGGGTCGACCCTGTGAACGGAAGACCCTCCTGGGGCAAATCCAGCCTCTATAAAGTGGGTACTTTAATTAAATAATTAGCGAAGTGGCAAAATCTGGCGGTTGAAAGTGATATTTACCCATCACCTACCTGCACAACCGTTGGCCTTGTAACAGTACTCGTACTTCCTCACATTGAAAATGAATGAATGAGGAATCTTATGTTGTTGAATCTTAAGATTGCATTAAAAAAAAAAAAAAAAAATATATATATATATATATATATATATATATATATATATATATATATATATATATATATATATATATATATATATATAAATATATCTTGTTTCTGATTTGGAAAATGTCTCTTGTATCAGAAATATTAGATTAAGTAATGTAAATAATGTCGTATAGTAAAATTTTAGTTCAGATTTAAGATATATTTTGGGAAGGAATGCTATTGAGGTGATATATGCCTTTACCGGGCTGGGTAATAATCCTGGAGCAGGTGACCGCTACACGTTTCGACATTCCTAGACTAGACATATCATCAATTATGTAGTTTTTTATATTAGGCATTTCTCGGACACACAATTATTATACATACGCTCGCACACACATACAAACATATATATATATATATATATATATATAGAGAGAGAGAGAGAGAGTTATGTTACCCTCAATTATACAATTATAAAATTGTAATATTAAGTGATTTTTAATAAAAGATAGGTCTTATTTTCATTACACTAATCTCACAAGGTTTAAATGCCAAATTTTCAAATCATCTTTCTCTAGGATACCATGAAATGTAAATTAACAATATTTCTTGGTTAATACTAATAATGAATCACTAAATATAAACTACACACACACACACACACACACACACACACACACACACATATATATATATATATATATATATATATATATATATATATATTATTATTAAATGATCTATATTTAATATTATGTATACTAGTATGTAATATTACCTTCCATTATAATATTTATAATTATGAACTTTCTAGCTGAATAGTTTGCTATTAAAACATAATTTATGCGAGCTATGTAAACTGCTCAAAAGACTTCTATTTGATTCGTTTCAATTATATACAACTTCTTAACCTTCAGAAACCGAGTGCTGTATTACCACTTTTATGGTATGAAATACCTCGTGAAAAGGTGACAACGTTATAAACAGTATGCCCAGTAGGTGCAGAGAGGTAGTGCGTAACAGAGGATATTACACAAATTATTAAATTTTACAAAATTCTAAAAATTCGTAATCATAAAAACTTTTAATTTAATTTAATTTTTTAAAATACCTTTTATAACCCCGATGTCAAATAAAATCTTATTTGTGTTAATTTCTAATATATTTTATAATTAAAATTCTATTGAATATAAATCACACGACTAACTTTTTGAGCAGTTTATATTTTGGACCTTTAAGATACGGGCTTTTTAGTAGATGAAAATTTGTGTATGTAAAAAATGCAGTTTGGACTAGTTTGAGAAAGTCGAAATTATTATTTTTAATTTTTTTCAATAAATAAATTGAGACATGGAATAATGCTGTTCACAAACTGTTTATTTCAATTACAAAACAATAATAGTAACTTGATGAGATAACTAATTATGTATAGATATCATAAATTGAATTTTTTTGGAGCAGGTATTTTTAAAAATATTTTGGTCAATTCTTTACCAAAGTTAAAATCCTTTTCATGGCCAAATCCAAATTTTGCCTTTTCTTACAATACAGGAAATAAAAGCTTCCTTACTTTCATCTAAGTTGCTGCATATTTGATCCGGTTAGATCTTACCTTCATAGAAAACGGCCTCAATGTCGTTTATTCTGAATTATTTTATGGATGCAGTGACCTCTTCAGCAACTGCGTTCTCTGCATTTAATGCCTCTTCGTCCTCTTGAAAGGGATCGTCATACTTTCGTCTTTGGGGAACCATTTTGGTGGATAGCATCATCCTCGATGTCAGTATTAACATCCAAATCTCTTAGCAGAGAGCCCATGGCATTTCGGTTTCAGTAAAACTCATCACGTCATTTTCGCTCTATTTACTTGAACTTTCGTTGTTTTCTTACTTGTGGAGTTTTACCTCCTTTCTGCTTGGATCTTTGTTATTTTTGGAAGAAAAATCTGTTTTTACTGTGACTTTGAAAACGGCCCTGAACCATCAAGACGTCCACTTTTGATAGCAAACTCCTCAATTATTGTATAGTTTTCCGGTTGAAGCCTGATTTCCTCTACCCGAGCGCTACCCTAGGTCCCGAAGCCAGTGATAAGAGAGTGGGGAGGCCTGATAAGCCAGTGATGAGTGGGGGCTTGGAAGTACCGGGCCAGTGTGTGTTGAGCTGTCCGCGTGGTTTGTGCTCTCAGTTCCGGCGGCCCGAAGGATCGAATTATACAGACAATAAGAAGGTAAGTCTTCGAAAAAAATGGATTCAATGCATCTCTATCTGTGTTATGAAATAACGAAAATGTTTAAATAAAAATTCGATCCAAACACCCTAAAAAAATCCGAAATAGATTTGTCATATTGTATTCCTATACGGAACAATATTTGTATATAATTCTCTTATTATTATGAAGTAAAGCTCAAATATTGTTTGTGATAGTTTTGGACTACTATTTAATGCACGAAGCGTCGGCAAGCCGCGGACCGGCGAAACGTTTAATTATTGCTAAAAACATTTTTTTTTAAATTATTTCAAATCCGTTTCTGTTCTCCAATTTAATCTCAACACTTTAAAACTACTTGATTGATGAAAAATCCACATTTGAATTTTTATATGGAATGATCACATCATTAAGTTATTATGGACCGCTTTATAATTTTCAATTATTTCTAATATCTTTATCTCTTGAGTGATTAGATGCTGTCATAAAAATATTAAGATAATTCAGTGCTCCATGATCTTTATAAACAAAAAAATATATAATTATCGCCCGTTATATCGCCCCCTCCGTATGAAAATAAATAAATAAAATTTAAATAATGACATTTCGATTTTAAAAAAATAATTTTCCACCATTGAATTGAACTTAAGTCATAGAAACACAGTTTAAGTTTATTCTTTTAGATATAGGATTATTTAATATATTTGTAAACAATTGAAATATATAAACATTTTATCATATTTGTCGATTTTTACTAGGGTTTTGTTATATAGTATAAGTGTCTAGATGTACTAACTAAATTGTGTTTATTTATTGAAAACATATGTAGAAAAACTGCTTTATTATGGCACTTTAACTATAGCAATATTATTAAAATTTAACATAATACTGCAAGGTTTGACATAAATGTTCCGATAATAATATTTTCCTGTGACAACTCCATGTTTATTTTAATAAACAATAATTTATTTAATAAAAAAATTTAAGTATATACTTTCTTTGGTTTCGTAAAAAATATTTATACCACCAATGTATCATGAACTAAAAGGGAAGATTCTAGAACTTGAATGCAATTGCAGGTTATGCCGGCTAAGATGTATCCACGTCACTTTAAACTATTTATGATTTTGATGGCGCTCTTGTAAATAAATACGCAAAGTCGACTTTAAGTATTTAAAATTTAAATGTAGTTTTTAAGATGTATATATTTATCCTTCTTTGGCATGGAATCAAAATACTTTTCTTTTTTTTTTTTTGGCTACCTTAATGCTTACTTTAAGAGTAAGGACTTATTTTTAGTCCTAGTGCTATTTTAAATGTATTTATGTATGTACAAATATATTTAATAAATAATTGAGTGATAGAAACACTTCATTTATCATGTGGAGTTCATCGATTATATTAAGTTCCTACAGACGAGTCCTGTCTGATGTATAATGTGAAAGTAATAATAAACTACCGATTTGAAAATATAATAAACAAATATATAATAAAATTTTAATTCGCTACCTTGTTAAAATAGTAAAGCTTTTGCTATTAATAACATTACTAATCTAAAAATCAAAATATTCACAAATTTATATGAAATTCTACAGTGGTAACGAATTCGTAGCGGAACAATAAAATACATAATTTTTTTTTAGATTATTGTATAAATGAAACAGAAAATTAAAATATCAATTAATTAATAAATTACCTAAAATCAGTTAAGAAAAAAAAATTTATTTTGAGTTTTTCTTTTTGAGCTTGTAGCTTCCTTTTTTATTAAGAGTTTTCCGCACACATATTTAAATATTTCGAATAAATAATTTTTTTAGTATATCTAAACTAGGCTTCGTGGCCTGGTATTCACAATTTTATCTTGGTGTGTTATTTTAGAATGGGCTCAAATATTTGTGACGATAAGGAAGAGATGCACTAGATGGAGTGTACAGCTCTTCCGATACGTTTCTGTCTCATCAAATAAGTAATTATATAATTGCTTTGTCATTTGGATTTATAAATAAAGTTAATATTCGTTTTTTATTTAGATATTAAAAAGAACAAAACAATAATAATGCACAGTCACCAAACGTTATTGATGTTTATTTAAATTACATTTAGCAACTTTTCCACTAGGGTTCCTGGCAAAGTTTTATATATACATAGAAAAATAAAAGAATGATTCAATGAGATCGTTCTGTCACTTGCCTGACCGGTTTTGAATCCTTAAAAGGTCCCCTCGGCACAAAACAGAAATCTACCGCAAGGACTATGTTTTGCTAATTCAATTTAAATTTGTTGTTTATAATATTCAATGTATGCGTTCCAGGAGTCCGTCATACTTAGGAAAATTAACAGTTCAATGATTTGATAATAAACTTTACTACAAGCCTTGCTTTGGTCCTAGAGAGGCAATATATTTTCTTAGATATTTATGTATACATTTATGTCTAAAAACATAAGTACATTATAAAAATCTATACGAAATGAATCATATCGCTGGGAGGATAGCAGGGTTGTTACTGCGGTAGTTTTGGGCACCATTTATTTTGGTTTAATTGATTATTATAGGTGTAGGGTTTAAAGTATACATCAATGTTCCTGCAATTCAAAATTTAATTGAACTTTCTCACTAACAGTCCTTGAAAATACAGATTGTATCATTTTGGGATGCAGTCAATGAAAGCAGGGGTGCCCATCCCCCCCAAGGTCAAAGGCATATCTCTTCCCTCCCAAGATGTTTTATTGCTCAACTAACTCTTCTTATAACAGTGAAAGCGAAAGTAGAAAAATCGTAGATTATATTTTTTTATTTTAATGAAATTTACAACTGTATTACATAGAAAATACAATAAGTAAATGTGACATTGGTAACATGACATGTACAGCATGCAGAGAAACTACCCATTGGTAGAACTCAAATTAAAGTTCTATATTAGAAGGTCCCGAGGCCATCTTCTTTTCAGACGCCTCGGAGGGTTATCAGGGATCGAGGAGGAAGCAAGGTTTGAAACCAGAGGATTCGGATGGTTCGTGCAGTTTGTTATGGAAGGATAGGTATCTGGATTGGGCCAAATCGGAAACATATGGAACATTAAGATCTTTATGGGTGATTTTATTTGTGACAAAGTAGGGAGCGTTGAGGATTTTAGGAAGGATTTTAGGATTGGATACAAGAGGAATTCGATGGTTTAATGGAGCCCCAAAGCTCAATTCCGTAAGTCCAAATAAGTCTTATTATTGTCATATATATGAGTCGTTTGTAATTGATTGAAAGCTTAGAGCGTTTGTCTAGTAAGTGCTGCAGTAGTCGAAAACGTCGGGCGGTTTCTAGTCGTTTCAGTCTAGTATGGGGATTCCAAGTGAGTCGTTTATCAAGGCAGAGTCCTAAGGATGGGATTCGACAAGAATAAGAGGGCTATTGGTGAAGGATACTGTAGGACAGGAAGTCATAGGTTTACGACGAAGAGTGAAGGTAATTTGATGGGATTTATTGGAATTTATTTTAATCCTCCAGTGTAGATTATATAAAATTACTTTTCCTACATTGCTTCCTATTGAAATTTATGAACCCGCCAGAATTTGGTCTCCTTAAAAATTCAAAATCCTATCAAAATACTCTCTCCTCAATATTTTGATGACGCAACTTGCGCCATGAAACCCCCTTCTGGGCATCCCTGAATAAAAGGCTGAGTGAACCCAAAATATAAAGATCAGGTAAAATTCGGAACGCTTATTTATTTATTTTTAAAGTGAATTTATGATTAATCAAATTTAATGTACCATTTACCCGAGACTGCTGTATAAACTCCGTAAATTCTTACGACTTACATACTTCCTTATTATCCGTTCATACCTTACTGCTCGATGTTTCAAAGTAAATCATAATAATGCAGGTTCATCCCTCGTTTCTCAGTCTGCTGGTGTTCCTCAAGGGAGCATCCTCGGTCCTATCCTTTATACAGTTTAAACAGCTCATATCCCAACACGGTCATCACCACCTATGCCGATGTCACTTGTTTCCTATCTGTTGATAATAACCATTAAATTGCATCCCAGATGCTCCAATCACATATCATAGACCTTGAACAACAAACCGTGCCATAACTGGAAAATAAAAATAAATGCCATCAAATTACCTTTACCCTCCGTCGTAAACCTACAACTTCTTGTCCTACAATATCCTTCAATGATATTCCACTTGTTCCTGTTGAACAAATCCGTTGCCTAGGACTTCACTTGGATAAACGTCTCACTTGGAATCCGCATACTTGACTAAAAACTGTTCGACGTTTCCGACTGCTCCAACACTTACTAGACAAACGCTCTAAACTTCCAATTAATTACAACAGACTCATCTACTTAACCATAATAAGACCTATATGGACATACGGAGTTGAGCTTTGGGGCTCTACCGAACCATCGATTTCCTATCGTATCCAATTCTTACAATCCAAAATACTTCGTAAAAGCCTTAATGTTTGTCACAAATAAAACCATTCAAAGATCTTAATGTTCCAAATGTCCCAAATTTAGCCCAAGATACCTATAGTAGATACCTATCTTTTCATGATAAACTCCAATCCCATCCGAACTTGTTCCCAGCCTTGCTTCTTTCTCGATTCCTGATAATTCTTCTAAGCGTCTGAAAAGAAGATGGCCTCGTGATCTTCTTAACTAGAATTAAATAGGGAGTGCTACCACTGGGTAGTATCCCTTCAAGTATGTCCATGCCATTATTTCTAATGTGTACTTATTTACTGGTTGTATTTTTATACAGTTGTAACTTTCATTAAATAAATAAAAAATAAAAAAAATGTACAATTTAAAGAAACGTACTGAAATAAATGAATAACAAAATAATATATCCCAATATAAATACGATTGTAATTAAAACCCATTTGGCGCTGATTTGTTAATTTTATAATTATTAAACAACTTTTATTGTTGGATTTATTTTAAAAAATTAATTAATCGCGCGTTAGTAATATAACGATTTTTATTTTTCATCTGCAAAAATTTACTAACTTTTTTGAAGT